CTCCCAAAACCGCGAGGTCTCCCAAAACCACCCCCCCGAAATCACCCCCCAAAACCCCCCCCCCCCCCCGAAAAATAAAAAATGAACAACAAATCAAGAAATCCAACAGGAAAGCCGTTGCGCCATTGCGTGTCCCCTGACATAGGCCCTACAAAACATAACTGCTATTGGGTTGGATCTTTAGACTTAATTTTTTGGGAAATCAAGGGGTTTTCCACTAAACCCCCAAAAAGGTAAACACTTTTTGCAGGGTCAACAGCAACCAAAGGAAGCGACTTAGAAGCGGAAGACTTACAAGCACAAAAGACCCAAGAACCAGTCAAGCCCTTGTAAGTAGAACACTGGCATCTAAGTCAACAGCAACCAAGAAAAAAAGGCAATCTTCCCCAGACTTAGTTCCCCTTGTCGATTTTTGTGTTTTTTTTGGGGTCCCCTTTGTTTTCCACTATCCGGGGAAAAAAAGGGTAGCGACACCAGCCTCAGCTTCAGGTCTCCCCGGAGCTCTTCCTGCCCGAGCGCCTCTGCGGCTGCCTGGCGGGCTGGGCCGGCGCCGGAGTCAGCTGCCCCTCGGCCCCGAGAAAAAAGTTGGGAGGGGTCCCAATCCCAAAGGTGAAAAAACACGAAACACCCGTTGGGCAGACAAGCCAGTGGTCTGGGGGTTTGCTCACAAGGGTTTGCTCACGGGTTTACCAGTTGGGCCACAATCAGAACCCGGGTAGATGAAGGTTGGTAAGGGACAGCAAGAAAATGGCCATGAATCTCAACGAGGAACCCGGAACCAAATGGTTGGTGGACATAAATCCCCACCGAATTCCGATGTCCAGAAAGTCCCTCATAAAAATAATAATAAAACATAATTAAAAAATAACAACAACAAAACAACAAATCTAAGACCCTGGCAGCGCCAGGAGAGGCTTGATTCCAACTGCCATTTCTCTTTCGGAAACCCACCTTAACGCCGGGAGGTTAGCATGAGATGAGATTTGGGCGCTCTGCGGGCATCTCCAGGATCAGATGGCCATAGGTCAAAAGCCCGGTTGTCCCAGTGAACATCCGATTCAATCCAACCACTACAATAGATTCTATAATGGGTGGCGAATTCACCTACCCCGCAATAACTTGTTTGTGGGGATTTGGGGGACTTTGGGTCGTGAAGCCAATATTATTTTGTGTATGGCCGAGTGAACCCTTCGGGTCGCTGGATTAGCCCACGGGCTGAAGGGCCTCACCTGGCGTAGGTGAAAATCTGCAGAGCTCACCGTACGCCTTGCAGAAGTCTTCGACACGCGCGCGCTTCGCCAAGCTCGGCGAGACAACATGCGCACCCGCTGCCCAAAGGAGTGCAAGCGTGCGCCCTCAGTGGAAGGGTTAGTCTGTGAAGTTTTCTGGCCCGCCTTTTACGAGTCCACCCGAAGGCTCTGCGGGATTTGTGGCCACGTGCTCAAAGGCTCAGGTCCCGACAAGCCCTGGCGGCCCTTCGCGGCCAGTGGAGAATCAATTGCAGACTGCTGCAACGCGAGTAGCTGAAAACGAGGCTGAGGCAACTCAGCTAAGCTCCGTTGGAGAGCACGAGCATGTCCAAGTAGAAGGCCGGGAGGAAGCGGCCATATGGCGTGGAGCAAGCAAGCGGACTCCGAGAGCATGTGGAAGGAGAGAAAGCAAGAAGTCGCCGCGCAAAATAGCGTTTGTACTGCATCTGTTCAGATGCCTGTCTCTTGCTTATCCTTGGTCCAGCTCAATCGCATCTAGTGGGCCACGTTGGAGCACGCATTTTTTTCCCGAGGCCAGGCATGCCCGACCGGTACCTTCAATGCGCACTTCAACAGCAGTGTTTGCACAGCCTGTCCGGAGAACAGCACTTCCACGTCTGGCGCCAGCTCGGTGGACATGTGCATCTGCGACTTCGGCAAGGCTCGACATGGGCGCTTTTTGGTGTGCCAGGAAACCGCCATTGGGAACCCCTACGGCCACAAGATTCCCTCCTTCGGGTTCCAGAATCAGTCGCAAAAAGCCCTTTCTCTCTGGTCAAACTCAGAAACTGGGGTAATGGCTGAAACCGAAAGGAAGGCCGAGCGGGAGACACCCTTTTGCCGTGAATAGGCGCGGATGTGCGCCCAGATGATACCGTGCTTGTTACAGCGGACATAAAGCTGGCAAAACTTTTTTTCATTTTTGTTTTAAACATGGAGGACGGCACACCGTTTATTTGTTATTTTTGCTTTTTATGTGTGTGTGTGTTTCCGCAACAACCACCTCTTGCAACCACTCAACAACTCAACAACCCACCGCAACAACCCACTCAACAACCCACCTCACTCAACACAATTAACCCCCCCTCAACAACCCACCTCACTCAACACAATTAACCCCAACCGTTTTTTCTTCTTCTTTTTTTTCTACGTTTTTTTTTCTTCTTTTTGTGTGTGTGTGTGTTTCCGCAAGAACGAATATGAACCCCCACTCAACAAGCCGCCTCTTTGCAATCTGGTGGGCCCTAAGAACCGAATCCCAGCTCTGGGACTGGCTGGGGGTTCGAGGCTTGGAAAAACGGTCAGCGTCTACTCGGGAGCTCAGAGATCCAAAACTTAGTCCTGGACACGTGCAGCCATTTCTTTTTAATACAGCCGAGAATGTTTTGAGCCGCAGCCGACGGAGGCACGGACATGTGTGTCCAAACGAAGTATTTTTTTGTTTGAGGGGGATTGGAATCTCACTCGGTATCAATAAAGGGGGCACCTCCCACAAACCAACGGGGTGCTGGAAGACCATTTTCCTAAGGGGATCCCTGTGCAGGTTACGAGTATGTCTGTTAACCCCATTTTCCCTTTCAATCGGGGTTGAAATGTTTATGGCTTTGATCCGTTCCTTCGATGGTGCGGCGGGCCTGGGTTTCCCAGTCGCTTTTGGGGTTTCCGGGTTCTTTCCGTTCCGCCTCTCGGGTCCCCAACAAGGCCAAACATTGGGCGCGGCATTTGTTGGGTTGGACCTCCCGGAAATGGCGCAAGGGTGTTCCTCTTGGTTGCGGTTCGAAGAAGCCGACAGAAAAAAGGGGGCAGCCGCTTAAAAAAAGAGACGCCCATTTGTGGTGTAGGGAACCCTCGGAGTAGCGCGTTTCCTCTTGGAGCCAAACAGAGGTACATCAAACAAAAGACGAGCCACCCATGAGGAGGGAGTCATATGGGTCTGTCTTTTATTGGGAACCCGTTGTTGGTTGGCTTTGAATGGAAACCAGAAGCAGAAACCGGTGCGCCGTTGGGGGGGGATCATGGAAAAAAGGACAAGCCCAAATGGTGCCCTGCAGGTAGAAGACGAATGCTTCTCACTGCTCGAAATCTCGATTTCCCGTCAGCGCGGCGAGTCTCGATTTCCCGTCATTGGAGGGTCCAGCCGTTGAGGGACTCGGCGCGTTCCAGGTCTATTCCTTGGGCTCGGCATCGAGTGAATCGAGCTACGCCTGTGGCTGCCCCAAGGGCCAGGCGGGAAGGGAGATGGATGCCATGTCTGCACTGCTCTTGGGTTGGATCTTTAGACGTTTTTTTACTTTGGATTCCCATCTCGGTTTTTTAGGGAAAAGTCAAAGACTGTTTGCTGGGGGATCTCTTCAGCACCCCATGTTTTTGGAAGCAGAGACTCTGTAAAGACAGCACTGGCTGCTGCTTTCCGGTGGGCCAAGGGGGTAGCGACCCGAGTCTTTATGGCTATGGGCAATTTGTGCCTGAGGGGAACACATCGTAGCGGCTCAACAAGCAGAACGAGCAACATGGGGTGTCCATTCACTTTCCCTTCAATGGCTATTTGGGAACGGATCTTTGGACTAGACGTTTTGGTTGAAGCAGGTTGGATTTCCGTTGGACCCACAACAAGTGATTCAGTTTTTGCGGAAGAATCCCTCCAGCAACCAAATGGTCTACTGGATTGGAGTCTCTCCTTGGGTCGTTCGAAAGGTTGCAACAAGGCATCGCCGTGGTTGTCAAAAATAGGGTACCCCAAAATGGATTGCCATGGACTAAACCTGCGGTCCCATGCCCAAGTCTCTTTGCTGAGGCCTGGCTTTTGGCTTCATATTTGCAGCAACCAACACTCACAACCACCAGGGCTTGAAACAGAGCAAACCAAATCCGGGGAGTGTGAGGCTTTACACAACAATCAGAGGTATGGCAGGTTTTTTTTAATTGGCGCACTGGTCCATGAAGCGATTGATTTTGGCTATTCTTCCCATTTGCTATGCCTCGGTCGAACAGATGGCGTTTGTTGCAACCCCGCCAAGGGCCTTGCACCATACCCCGAAGATTCATGTTTCTGGCGGCCAGTCTTTCGTTTGGTTCACATGGATTCTGGAGCGCCACATCCATAACATTTTTCCAACAGACTTTTTGAACGGGACTGTATCCCCCGTTCAAGGTTGCCCGTCTCACTTTTTGGCGACCAGTTCAAAGGGTCGGGTGGTCACTTGTGACCATCAAAATCGCGCTTGTGACCGGTCGCTTGTGACCGTCTCCAAGGGCTTGGGGGATCTTACGCTTCCCTCGTGGGGATCGTGATCTCTCACATGATTCCTTTCGGAGCTTTCAGAGTACACAGAAGGAGCCCTCCCAAACAAGATACACCCACTTGTGCACCACGCCTGACCTCACCCATAGGGACAGGGGTGAGTGACCGTCTGACATTCAAGCGTGATCTGTGCACTGGTGCCCTTTTCATAGGGTTCTAAACATTGCTTTAAAGGGGGGACTCCCTGGTTATTTTCAGTGGTACAGTCCTAGACCCTAAAACCACAAAACCGTAAAACCCTTAGCCCCTAAACCTTAAAATCCCTAAACCCGCAAACCCCTAAACCCTAAAACCCCCAAACCCTAAAACCACTAAACGCCTACACCCTGAAATCCCTAAACCTTAAAACACCTAAACTACTAGATCCCTAAACCCTAAAACCCCCAAACCCTAAAACCTTAAAACCCTAAACCCTAAAACCCCTGAACGCTACATCCCCAACCCTTCAACCAGTAAACCCTACAACCACTAAGCCGTAGAATCCACAAACCAAAAAACCTAAACTCTAAAACCCCTAAACCCTAAATTCCCCAGCCCTGAAACCATTAAACCCTAAAACACAAAGCCCTAAAACCCTAAAAACCCTAAACCCTAAAATCCCTAAACTCTAAAATCCCTTAACCCTAAAACCCGAAATGCTTGAACCCCTAAATCCTAAAACCCCTAAGCAGTAGAATCCACAAACAAAAAAGACAAAACCCAAAAATGCTTAACCCTAAGACCCCTAAACCCTAAAATCCCCAAGCCCTCAAACCCCTAAGCCCTAAAATCCCTAAACCCTAAAACCCCTAAACCCAAAAACCCCTTAACCATAAAACCCCGAAACCCCGCAACCCTAAAACCCTAATACCCCTAAACACTAATACCCCTATCCCTAAAACCCCTTAACCCAACAACCCCTAAGCCTTTAATCCTAAAACCCCTGAACCCTAACACCCTTAAAATCTAAAGCCCATAAAACCCAAAACCCACAATTCCTAAAACCCCTGAACCCTAAAATCCCTAAACCCTAAAATCACTAAACGCCGAAACCCTGAAATCCCCAAACCTTAAAACACCTAAACCACCAAACCCTAAACCCTTAAACCCTAAAACCCCTACTTAAGTCCCTGCTTTTGGGGAAGCTGGAACTTTGCAACGAGGGTTTCTACAGTTTTAGGGGCAGCCCCACTTCGGCATTTGAGGCAGCGTTATGTTCTGCAACCCTTTTTTGTTGGGTTGAAAGGGCATTATGAACCAACACGCTGTTTTTGCCCTTCGAACCACTATTCTGAGACAGATCCATAGTTTCGCCACGGGCAACATGGCCTATTCCCCCCCCCCCCCCCCCCGCCCTTCCCAAAAAAAGAGGACATGTGGTTAGGGAAATCAACAGTAAAGCAAAAGCAACACAGATGTTTCCAGTCCCCCAAACCGGCTCCACGGTTTTGCTCCGAAACGCATTTATTCAGGGTGGCTAGATGAGGTCCTCGAGCCACAATCAAAACCCGGGTAAGGCACAATCCGGACCATAAATAGCTGCGGATATCCGCCTTCTTAATACAATACATGCTTCTCAGAATAGACCATTTTCATACCGGGTTTTTGATTATGACTCAAATGGCTCCACGGTTTTGCTTCTGGTTTCGTTTTCTTCCCTCACACATTTCAAGGGGCCATTGGCTCCAGACGAGGCTCGCGCGCTTCGCATTTTTCTCGCCAGGCGCTGTACGAAGGCGCCTGCGTGACCTGCACCCAGCTGCACTTGAACTGCTCTGTGCCGGGGTCCCTGGCGACCAGTGCGCCCCCGCTGCGCGGCTGGGCGCGCATCGAGGACGAGGACTCCCTGGTGCACACCGCCAGGCGCGGCTTCGCGGCGAGCGGGGCGGAGCGCATAGGTGTTTGGTTTGGTTCATTAGCTTAAAAAGTAGACGGCGAGACCCGTGGCTGTGCATAGGCGTCCTTTTGATTGCTTAGTTTACTTAAGAATAGAGGGGTTCCCCTGGTTTTGATGGGGTTTATGCCCCATTTACCAAGGAAACCCATCTATTTGTCCAAATTGCCACCTATGAACGAGCGCTTCGCGGTTTCTGCGGGGCTTGGAAGAGTTGCGGGTTTGAGAGGGGGGCAGGAAACGGTGGGTGGGGTGACTTGAGGGAACCAACATTTGCAGAAATTTGCCAAGGCGATTACCAAACAACCAAAGTATGGCTTCTGTTTGGAAAGGCCAAATTATGTTGCGGATCTATCATTCGTACCTCATTCATACCGTGTCGTTGCCCGTGCCTTGGTTCCGAAACCATGCGTTATATTTGCTGGCGTGCCAAAGTTTGCCTCGAAATGGGATTTGGACCCCAAAAGGGGGGGGGTCCCTTTCGTTCCTTTAACACAAATTAAAGGGGTACCAGCTCCGAAAATTGAGCTTCGTCCATGTATTGCGTTTGTCAAGCCACACTGATATGTGGAGAAGCCCAGAGTGTTGTCGAAGTCAACTGTAGGGATACCGCTTGTGTGGGCTGCGACTTCATAGTACTTCCTATGTGGTCAAACGACCAATCGCTTACTTGGGAATGCTAGGGATCAGAAAAGAAGCTCAGTCGCAAGCATTGATGGCAGAGAACCATGCCAACCATTGTACGGAGCCATAGCCACACCATGACCCAATCATTAAACGAAGTTTTGACCTTGCTCTTTATGGATTAGGCCGTTTGGGCATTCAGAGTCTTTTTTGTGTGGCCTGCGTGTCATCCAGACAAGTTGTTCATCACGTATCTGCCAGGGGCAGACTCTGGAAGAAAGGAATCCGGCCACTGCAGAGGGACCCCTTCAATGACTGAGTGCTTTAGCAACCCCCCCCTCACCCCCCCCCCCCGGCCCCCTTTTGGGAGGCAAACCAAGGACACTGCCAATTTTTTCATGGATTCCCCCCCCCCCCCACTTTTTGGACATGCCCAACTCTAGGAGGGGCTGAGGTGATGAGATTGGTCCACCTGTTCCAGGCCCCAGCCCACCCCCAAAAAACTCGCAGCGGGGGTCCTTTGGGTAAGTCAAGGGACGTGCCCGGGAACCGGAGAGGTGGCGCTCATCGTTCGCGGAAGGAGAATGATATTTTTTTCCGGATTTGTTTCTCCTGCTGCATTTTCTGTCCAATTTTGTTCCGCAAGTGTCTGCTGTATTTTGTTTTCAACCAAAAGGCGCTGCAAGGGTCTCCGAAAAATGAGTGCTCCACATTCGTCGAAACCAAAAGCTCGGCCGGCTTTTCAGGTGCATCGAGCCCGCGGAATCACGGTGCAGCCTGGGCCAGTGTACGCCAGGCAGCTTGGAGGGGACCACGAGCCGGAAATTGCGCAAGCGTTTTTTTTTTTTTTTTCTTTCTCCATAGCAGGATGTTGTTCCTTGTTTGCTTGAGGGGCGTTGATTTCGTGTTTTGCCGGATGTGCGTTTTGTGGGTGAGTGAGCCGCGGACAGTATGTTTCGACTGTGTCGGGTTCTCAGAGTCCGAGACCGCCTATCACTTAGCTGACTACGATAGCAAACGCGTGGGTGTTTCTTTTTGGGGTGAATTAGTAGGGACAATAGGAGGACAACGGCCATTTGGGGGGGGGCAAGAACACACACACACACACACACATATTGGGGGCCAGTATTGCTGGCTGTCTTCCCTTTCGGTTCTTGGTTCTTTCTGTACTTCCGTAGCTAGGCTGAGTCTGGGGCTGCAAGCAACTCGGTTTTGCTAGCATGCCAGGGGCTTGAAGAATATAGAAGGATAGTCCGGGTAGTTTGTGGTTGATGTTTTTTTGTTTCTTTCCAGCTTTTCCACACAAGCAGGGCGCGCAGTACCCCACATGAACTTTTAGCAAGCTCAATGGAGCCCTGAGTTGGATTTGTTTCAACAGGGGGAGCTCTTGGGAACATGAGAAAGGGACGGATCCTAGCTTGGGGACAGCCAAATGAGCCAACAGCAAAATTCCTGGGTGTTGACGGTTGGCTCGTGCAGTTTCTCCTTCGGCATTGAGCTGGACGCGTTCGCAACTGGCAATGATTTTGTTACTGGCTCTTCTTTTTTCATAAGCCATTCCGATGCAAGCCTTCTTGACGATTGGGAACAAACCAGCTCCATTTGCTTCTGTCGCATTTTGCCGCACCAATCGTAGTGCCAATGGCTGTCGCCTTCGTGGGGTCACCCCCAACCAACGGGGTATACCCATAGAGTGGTTCAGTGCTTCCACATCTTTGGGCTTCTCACCAGGTTTGCGGATGATCCTCAAACAAGTGCCCCCCACCGAGCCCAGAACGAACTTTGTTTTTTTTCCCCTTCGCCAGGGGTGCATTTTACATCCCCGCAGGGGCCTCACCGGTTTTGGGGTATCTCTCTTCCTTTTTTGGAGCCCCCTGAGAAAGGCGTCATTTGACATCCCCAAAAACCTCGGATATCTCTTGCCTTTTTGGATTTCCCCGAAAAAGGCGAAGGGCGTCGTCTTCCCCTCCCGGCCCCGAAAACCGCCAGGCGTCGTCTTCCCTCGAAAACCGCCAGGCTACGCCGGGCCGCTGTGCGTCGTCTGCGCGCCGCACTTCCGCTCTGCGGGGAGCCTCTGCGCGCCCTGCGCCGCCGAAACCGCGGCGCTGCGCCCCGCGGCGCTGGCGGCGGCGGGGCTGCTGGCGCTGGGGGCGGCCGCGGGGGTGGCGTGGCGCAGGCGCGACAGCGAGACGACAGCGAGACCCGTGGCGGTGCAGAGGCATCCTTTTTTAAGGTGAGTTTGGTTAAACTAGATGGGGTCCACTGAAGATCAGATGGGTTTTGTTCCATTTACCAGGGCCAGCTATTTTTCCGAAAGGCCACCTATGCTGCTGCGTTCCCCTCCAATCGTGGTCTGATTCCCCACTCAACCCAGAATCGGACACCCCTATGAGTAGACAGGGGTTGATTCTTCTTTTCATACGGTGGATGGCTGCGAAATCTGAAACCATGGAGAGCCATTGTTTGTTGGTATTGACAGTAGAATCATTCCAGGGTTTCTGAACGGTGCGAAATGGATTTCGCGACCATCCACAGTAGGACTCCCGCACGTGTGGAAATTCCACTGAGCCCAAATGGTTATGGGTCAAAATTAGACCAGGATATGCACCGCAGATTTGAGTCCTTGGCTCCAATACCCGGGGGTAAAGTTCCATTTTGGGCCATTTGGGTACCCATTTTTGACCCACACCCACATATCTAATTCTTTCCAGGCATCCTTCTTTCCAGAAAACCACCCAACACCCTGGGGAAACAGCTGGTGTTTGCCAAGAACGATGGCTGAAAATAATGGAAAAGGAATCAACCCCTAGAAAACAAGGTGCTTGGCGCCTGCACGGATTTTTGTGGGTTTTCTTTCACCCGGTGAGTGGGAAGCCGGTGGCCGCGCGAGTGAAGGAGCTGGTCATCCAGAGGTTTTCTGAGCCACTTGCTCAAAACCCGGGGCAAGTGAAGGTTAGCAAAGGCCGACCTTGCCATAAATGGGCGCGTGGATATCCGCCTTCGTTCTTGAAGCATTGTTCGGGGTCGACCATTTTCGCACCCGGGTTTTGAGTGTGACTCAACTGGGCCCCTGTTCCTGCAAGGAGGCTTGTAGGTCCATCGGGGTTGCTTGGAACGGATCTCGGGCGTAGCACGATGCAATATTGGCTTACCCCGCCGAGGTGTAAGTCTGGTTCTCTTTACGTGGTTCCCAGCAATCCCCTGAGAGTGGGGTTTCTATTTCACCCACGAAGAGTTTGGCTTTTGGCAGGGGATCTCAGCCAAGTTTGCTTTCCCTTTGAGAACCGGTGGCCCCAGCAAAAGAAAGGAACAGTGTTAGAGGATCAGCCAACTCGATTCTAGTAGCAGATCGAAGATCGATGCCCCACTCACAGGAACAAGTCCCCCCGCAGCAACCCAGAGTTTTAGTTTGTTTCAAACGTGACCATTGCAAGGCTGTCCAAAATGTTCAAGACCCACTCTGTTTTTGTTATCCAGGGATGTATGTGGGCCCTTGGGGAACTTGGAGTCAAACAGCAGCCCCTTGGCAGTTGCTTGCGAGTAGTGTGTCGGACTAAAGTTTCCTCAGCTTCGTCTTGGGCCACAATTGGTCAACGCGTCAGCTACACGGTGCGGGGGAGGGCCGCCTCATCCCTCGTGATGAGAGGGCTTTCTCCTTGCCTGAAAGAAAACCACCCGGACGTATTCCCATCGGTGACCCTGGAGGTGAACTAAAAAGGACGCTGCTGACTCATTGCCCAGCCAATTCTGGTTCATGCTTTTGGTCGGTTGACCTTTTTGCCAAGCCAATATTTTCCCCTCACTTCAAAGCCATGAGCTTTTTTCCCCCCCTTTTTTTCCTTCTTCCTTTCGGACCTTTTGGCTTCAGGCGCCAAGCTTCCGGGCCGGCCACCGAGCCGCCCAGCCCCTCGGCCCGGGACGCAGCGCTGGCGCTGCTGGCGGTGCAGGCGCCCTTGCTGCTGCAGCTGGGCCAGCTGCGGCTCGGTGGGTCCGGCGGTGGCCTGAAAAAGTGGCACCAAAATTGGCGGCGGTGAAATGGCGGGGCAAAAATCGTTGGTAACCCCAAAATGGGTTGCCTTGGTAAATGGGACCAAAGACCAAAAGACCTGCGGTTTGCCCCTGGTCTTGAAAATTTTGAGCCACAGCCGGTTGAATCAGGGGTACGTGGTTCGGGCAATAATCACCTGGAAGAGGTTGTTTTTTTTTGAGCGGGACTGAAAGAACCTGTGGTTGAAAATGGCTTCCTTCCCGAACTCGTTAAAAGAAACCGGGGGAACAGGGAGTGCAGGGGGGAGGGGGGGACGGGGGGAACAATCAGCCTGGAGCTCCCTCTTTTTGTGGGCTCCGGTCTCCAAGTTGGGAAGAGTTCTAGGGGTACCTTCCCCATTATTTCCATCCATCAAAAACCCAGGTTGGAGACAGATCCGGCTTTTGAAAAGAAGGATGGTTGAAAAGAATGGAAAAGGAATCAACCTCCCCCCCCACCAAGCCCCTCCCCCACCAACCCCTCCCCCACCAACCCCTGGAATCCTGGAACCAACCCCGAGTGAGGTGGGTGGTGGTCGCCTCGCTGGCAGCCACGCCTAGCCTGGAGACCAAGGAGGAGGAGGACGGGACGGCCCGTCGATTGCACATCGCGTGAAACGGGGCTTCGTTGCGGCGGACATGTCTTGGCTCGTTTTTGGTCCGGTTCGACACGGCCCCTTTTGGGGCCCAAAAGCTGACGGGGGCCATGAGCAAAGAACTAGGGCCAACATGAGAGGGCGAACTTGGCCGACTAGTCTTTGATTCATGGGAAACATAGACTGAACGACTTGGTCAGAAGACTGCTTGGATTTGTGGATAAACCTTTCGCCCAGACCATGCAAGACTCGGCGTGGAACCTGAAGAAGGGGGTTAGGTTGCCACTTACGCCAAGGGCATGCCCGGCAACGTGGGTGGCTCGTGTTCTTTTGAGTTGGTCGCTGTGCTTGTTGTGGCTAAAAAGGGAAGCCAAAAGGAAAACAGTTGCGTCATTTTGGGAGTCCCCGAAAGAGAAGTAGCCATGCTTGGATGGGATTCAACTCGGGAAATTTGCGGTAGCCATTTCCCATGATTAGCTCTATGAATGTGGAACCTGTTTCTTGTGTCACAACTAATTAAATTTACTGCAATTTGCCACGACATCGCCCACACTATTCCACAACCAGCTTTCACAATGTTCCACCTCCCCATTATCCACATTTTAATAGAGATTCTGTTCGGTAGGCTGATGTTTAAAGGGGACATATAGAGACCACAGTGCAACACACCAATTTCCAACATTTGTGCAGAGCACGTTTGCCTTAATATTGCAGGCAACAGAAAAGCTTAGATTGTTGTGGAGCCCAGACTTGTGCTCCAGACATCTGCCCATTCTCCGGAACCACGCCCATTTTCCTTACCACTTTCATCACAAAAACAAGTCACTTTTTTTTGTTTCTTTTTTTTTCCCCGCATCTTTTCTGACCCAATTCGGTCTCACAGAAGAACGACCTCCATTTTCCAACACCACCACCACCATAAATTTGTTGTGATTTTAATGGACAAGCACATTTTGTGACTTTTGTGGACAAAAACACAACCACCACCTATTTTCTGTATTTTTCTCCGATTCTTTTCTGACCCAATTCGGTCGTTTCTGACCCATTTTCCACCACCACCACCGCCACCGTCGCAGCCACCGCCACCGCCACCGCCGTGTCGCCGCAGGCGACGGAGCGCAGCTTCGCGGTGGACTTCTTCGAGCAGCCCTACGTCCAGTGGCTGCAGCTCTCGGCCCAGGGGCTGCAGGACGGAGACACGACACGGGGCCCGAAACGGGGCCGACACAGTGCCAGGAGGTCCCGAGCATGGACCAAATCCCCAGGAAAACGGTTTTAGGAACATCTCTTGGGACCCTTTGGGTGGACGAAATCCTAGGAACCCTGGAAGGCTTCGATTTTCCACCTACAACAAATGCCAAAAAATGGCGGGACACCCATGGCTTGAAGTTGGTGCGGGATTTCATCCATCACGGTGTGTCTTCTTGTAGGACTAGGGGTGCCAACTCAAAACAGCAGACCCCTTTGGGGGCTTGAAACTCGTCTTGTCTTGTACCTTTTCTAGGTTGGGCACCCAAGAGGAAAGCTTGACGGAAATTCCGGAATGACAACCAGCTGCGAGGACATGTTGGAAAGCGCATGTTTAACATCGGTCTCTACAGAGCCGATGCAAGGGCCTCTTGTGTTTAGATGACCTGCTGTAGGTCAGAGAGAGAGAGAGAGAGAGGTACCGTCTTTCTGACCAATGGACCTGCAGAAAAAAGGCGAGGTCACCAAGATCATTGTGCCATATCATGGTTTCCCTGTATTCATGTCCCGCAGATTGCGGATCGGGACCCCAGCTGAAAGCGTTTGGGTGTGAACACGTCATTTGGCGCATTAATTTTCCAAAATGGGTTGCACCACGCTGTTGATCAACCAAAGGGACGTTTAACCTGGGGTTCCCACGAAGCGTTGGGTGAGCCTTTAACAAACGCCCAAAAGGGTGCCCTCATCTTTTCATCATCTTTGTGGCGGGGAATATTGTGGAAGAGTTTAAGAGGATGTGGAGAACTCTCTAGAATCTTTGGCAAGGACTTCTTTCATAAAATGAATGTGGAGAAACCAGTAGCTCACCTTGGATGAACCCGCCCGCTTGAATTGCATCATCTTCACTTTCATACCCATCTTTTTTGGTGAGGCTCCATTTGGGTTGTCGGAAAGGGCTACCTCTTCATTGGGTGGATTCCGCGACACAGGTGACAATCGGTTTTCCCAAATTCGGATGCCCAAGGCAACAGAACGGTCCGTTTCGAGCTACAAAGCCATGTTGTTCACATGGCAGAAATCGGATGGGAAGGAATGCACCGGGATCAAAACCCGGGACATGTTGGGTTTCTTTGGTTTCCTTTGGCCCATCTTGCCTTCCGAACGGCAACGAATGAGCGGACAATATTGCGTACGAACAAGGAAATACTTGTATAGCAACATGTTATGTGGGAGCGTCTTAAAATAGAGGGCGCTAAAGATGGTTTCCTTCGGATTTCCCAGTACCACCCAAACCGGGTTCCCTGAAAACAGACAGCCCCAGGTGCGAACGAGCGTCTTTTTCTTTTAATGGGGCACCGAGCCTCAACAAAAGGATCCCAAGCATGGGCTCCCAAGAACCCAGCATGAGCTTCGGTTTTTCAGCGCCCATTTACCTGAGATCCACACTTAAAGACCAAAGGATCATAGAGGGTTACATACTATAAGGGCTCCCGAAGGAATCCTAAAAAAACACTAGAGAAGCCCCACGGAATCCTAGGGCTCGCAACTACCACCCTTGTACCTACTACCCCCCCCCCCGCCACCCAAATCGGATTCCAACACCCATCTACCACAAGCACGCTAGCCATCTATTCTTTATGGCTATTTTGGAACGGATCTTTGGACCTTAGCTTTTTGGTTGAAACAGCGGGTTTTCCCTTGGGCCCACAAAAAGTTAGACTCGTCGCAGAGGGGTCAGCAACCAAGAAAGCAATATATCTACACTTGGGGGGCGAGTCTTATCTATTTTTGGTCCATACCCTCCCATAAACACCCATTTACCACAAGGATGCTATCCTTGGACTTTAACTTGTTGGTTGAAACAGGTCGGTTTTTCCATACCCACGCTTGTTGTGAATCACGTTTTGCAGAGTCCCTATGGTTTCCCTTTAAAACCAAGACCAACAAATCCACCTGGTCTCCAAAACAGGTACCACGCCCCACGCCCATCCACCCTTCCAAGCAAGCAATACATCTACACTTGGGGGAGGTTCTTATCGGCTTTTGGTCCATAACCCCCCCCCCCCTCCCCCCGCCCACTTTTCGTGAGAAGCGTTTTGCCGCGCCCTCAAAAGGTCGTTCTAGTGTCGTTTTGGGCTCGCTTTAGGTTTGGTTAGGGGGTTGGTTTAGGGTTGGTTTATTTGGCTCCCACACTTTTTCCGTGAATAAAGCGTTTTGCCGAGTGCCCTCAAAAAGGCACTTGAGCCGGGCTCGTGACTAGGCCCCCCCCCCCGTAAAAGCGTTTTGCGCCCCACCCAAAAAGGCACTGAACCCCCTTTTCTCGCGACTCCCCGCACCCTGCGTCCCTTCAGCCGCTGTCCTTTTGGGGTCGCTTTAGGTTTGGTTGGTTTCGGGGGGTTGCGACTCCCCACCCTGCGTCCTTCCGGCCGACTTTAGGTGTGGTTTGTTGGTTTGGGGCCTTTGGGGTTGGTTTCGGGGGCTCGCGCAACGCGCCCTGCGTCCCTTTCAGCCGTGCTTCCGGCCGAAAGCCCGCAGGACGCTTTGAGTTTGGAGTGCTCCTACGGCGCGAGCGCGCGGAGCGCCGCCGCGGTGGCGGCGCCTTTGGCGCCGCTGGCGCTGCTGGCGCTCTGCGGGGCCGTCGAGGTCGTGGCCCGCAGCTCCGGCGCCCCGGCGCGAAGCGGCAGCGCGGAGTCGGAGTCTCCCCCAAACTGGGGTCATTATTTTCTTGGGGGCTAAGCCAGGCATCCGGTTCCTTGGCTTTTTAGATCCTAGTGTTCAGTGGTAGTTTCCGAATTTAACCCACTAAAAGTTAAACTTTTACCGGGGATCTGAGGACGGTTTCTGGGGGTTATCCAAGTCAGTAAATGGTTGGTTGTTTCCCCTTTCACCCAGCACTTAGGGGGTGACTTTGATCGTGGTAGAAGTAATGAGGCCAGCAAAACCTCCCCCCCAAACACGCCAACCTCCCCCCCCAGGTTCCACTCTCCAACTCACGGGAGAAAAATCCTCCAATTTGGAGGGAAGCTGACATTTAGGTCACTCACTTCCTGAGTTCATGAACTTGAAGCTTTTTGGGAAGACCATTTTGGCGGTAAATATAAAGTTTGAACTTTTTTGGGGCCATCCACTCAGCAAGTGAGGTTACCCAAAGGTGACGCGTGAGCGTGCCAGGCGTGACCTTTGGAATCCTTTGCAGTTTCGTCCTTTCGACATGTTAGCAGGAGCCCCACAGAGCCTATTTTCCCGTCCGGCCCGGCAGAAAGGGACCTCGCACGAACTGCAGGAGGACGTATTTTGTCTTGAAGAACGATTTCCCATGTTACTTTGGTTCAAGCGCCCCAACACAACTTTCCATGGATTCCTCTTGCGCCCGAGCGGTTGCACCCAAAAGGCGGGAAAGGAATCTCGCGACCTCGGCACGAGGAACGGTTTGCCTTTTTTCATTGCAGGGGTTGGGGTGGGGGAGAGGGGTGCTTGAATCGAGAAAACCAAGTTACCAATTGAGTACACGGGGATTTCCCCTTGGGCAAAAGATCGCTAAAAAAAGAGACCGGGGTGGGGAGGAGGTTTCGGTGGGTGCGGCTCATCCCACCCGCCTCTCGCTCGCCGAATCGCCGGATCGCCGAAGCGCGTCGGAGGCATCGGCCTGGCGCTGAAGGTGCTGACGCTCTTCTTCGTGGGGGGCGCCGCGGGCTGCGGGAAGCTGCTCAGCTGCCAGGACCTGGACGGAGGAGCTCTTCGGTCGATGGATCTTCGATGGCCTTTTTGGTAGGAACGAAGATCCAGGCTGGGTGGATCTCTGAGGAAATGATGTGCAACGGCGTCCATGGAACGTCATGCCCACGAAATTAAAAAAAAAGCCACGTTTTGAGCATTTGGCTGTGGGTTTTGACACGTTTTGGGATCGCATTTTGGTTGGTAGGTGAATTCACCAGCCATTTTATGTAGTCTATTTTAGTGGGGATTGGGATGTTCACTGGGGGCAAGGGATTTTGACCCATGGCCAAATCGGTTAGTTTGGTTAAGAATAGATGGGTTCCATTAGATGGGTTGTGTTCCATTTACCAGGGCCATCTATTTTCCAAAAGGCCACCTATGCACCGAAACAGATCGATCGACGTCGAATGGATGGGGTGTCGAATCGACCGGTGGTGAATGGCTGGAACGAAGGGACGGCTCTGAGGGAGGGGGCTGTTGAGGTCTGTCTTCATCTGCAAAAGGGCAGTGTGGTGGTTGTTGTTTTTTTGGAGGCTGCCAGAGTGCTTGTTGGTCGAGTTTTTCCAGGACGCTGGCCTCACTTTTGGTATCCGAGCCTTGTCCCATTTGGCTGTGGCTCCAAAAAGCGGAATTCCAAGCTGGGTTGCCCTGGTAAGTGGAAACATGGGTACCAAAACCTGCGGTTTGCCCCTGCTTAATTTGGATTGCCTTGTCCCATTTTGGGACACTCGGGTAGACTTGTGGTTTTTCAAGGGCTCCGGATGCCCTGCCCCAAAAACCGCCAAACCGCGGGCTCTGCAGCGGCAAGCCACCGGATCCGAGGCCAACGAGCTCTCAATCCCGGTTGCTCAACTTTTGGTGTTGGGCGAGCGGGGTCATTTTGGGCCAGAGTGAGGGTCAGAGTCTCCCCAGTGCCCTTGGACCATTTCTTTTTTGAGGGAGGGCTCACCTACTAAAATAGACTACAGAAAAAAGTTGGTCCCTTCTTCTAACATCTACTGGAGGACCTTAGAGTGGGTCATTTTGGGTGGGTGGAGTGGTCAAAGGCCAGCCTTCAGAGTGCGGTCCAAGGCCAGCGCCCCCATCTCGACAGGAGGGGAGCCTCTGGGCGCGCAGGCGGCCTTTCGCGTGGCCATGCCCTTCCTGCTTTGTTCGGAGCCCAGCTGGGCGCCTCGGCGTTTGGGCGGGTCTTTTGGGTCGTTTGGGCGGTCGGATTCGGACCACGGGATGCGCCGCTGGCAGCAAAAGGTCGTCTTTCTTGTTGAGGCTGGAGAGGTTGCAAGGGGGGGTTTTGGGGGGTTGGGGAGTGAGGAAGAAGGCAACAGCCAAGGGGCTGCTTTGCAGTCGTTTTAGTTCAATACATATATTTCTTTCCTTCTTTGCCCCCCCCCCCATATCCTTGTGGGACAAATGTCAGACTGCTTTTCTCCCACACAGCTTGGGCTAGACTTTCAGCAGCAAACACTTCAAGTGCGCTGATGATGTTGCTGATGCTGGTCTGGTCTGATGATGCCGCAGGCCTTCCTTTCGATGATGCTGATCATGCCTTGCGATGTGGCGCTGATAGCCATACATTGCGGGGCCACCAACACCATCCCCACCATCGCTGCCTCCACCGCCACCGCCACTGCCGCCGCCGCCACCGCCACCACCACCACCACCACCACCACCACCACCACCACCACCACCACCACCACCACCACCACCACCACCACCACCACCACCACCACCACCACCACCACCACCACCACCACCACCACCACCACCACCACCACCACCACCACCACCACCACCACCCGTCACCACCACCACCACCCGTCACCGCCACCACTGCCAAAACCAGGGTCAGGCTGCTGTTGGCACAGTCTGACACATGAATCGTATTGGATTGCTTCTGTGCGCCACCCGAATATCCAAAGCATAGCGCTCTCTGTTGCTATCAACTGATTTGCGGGGTTCCCAAGGCAAGTTGGCCGCGCTCTTTGTTCTGCCTAGACATGAGTGTTTCCAGGCCACTTCAAATTTCCTCATGCCGAGGTGGACGTAGTGGGCGGGCTATGCGCAGTCGCCTACGGCGTGCTTATTCCGGCCTTCTTGCTGGCACTTATGGTCAAGCAGCACGTCACCCTTCAGTCAAGCAGGACAATTTCTAGGGTTTCTTGCCCAAAAGCTGAAGGCTTCTTGAACTTTTCAACATTGCTGTGCGACCCCTCCTGTGGTTTGCGCGTTTTCTCGAAATCGGTGGGTCCCGGGTTCGCGCCCCCTTTGCAAGCTCCAGCTCGAACATGGCAGCTTTTCAGCGAATAGAGTCATCGGCGAAGTCCGCCCCCGTTTTCTCCAGCTCCACGTTTTGAGTACAAAGGGAGCGCCTGGCGCGTGGAGCAATCCGCGTGCAACTGGCAGATAGGAAACTTGCGCAGAGGGACTTGCTTCGAGCAGCTTGCGCAGCGCCACTTGCACGGAGCAACTTGCACGCAGCACCACTTGCATAGAGCTGGCGGTGATTTTTACGCCGACGTTAAAAAGGACTGTCTTGTCAGCCTTCCAACCAGGCACACTTCGCCCCAGGCTTGGTTTCAAATGGGCGGAAACGACTAGTTGCCAGAAACCCCCTGTGAGAAGTGAAGCCTAAATAAGCTACGTGCGCGCATTGCATAGTACATCTACGGCATGTGGCTGCGGGTCAAAAATGGGTACCCAAAATTCAAACGGAAATATGAACTAAAATCTGCGGTCCTGGTTGCTTAATTTTGTCCCACAACCATGTCCTGGAGGCAAACGTTTTGCAGCCGTTTGCAGGAGGATCGCGGCCTCGGCGATCGAGCAAGGCGACAAACTGCTGATCCGCTTGCACGAGTTCCGTAGCTCTGACCAGTACGCAGAGAAGGACTGTCCGGACACAGGTCAGGGATCCTTCTTTCTAGAAGACCTCCAAAAACCCAGGGAAACGGCCGGTTTTTGAAAAGAACGCTGGTTGAAAAGAGCGGTTGCGTGTTTTTTTCTTTTTCCGGGGTTTGCAGCTTGTTGCTGGGCTTTTGTGGCTTTGGTTTGGTGGCCTGGAGTGGCTTGGGACACCAACGCATCACCAGCAAGCCGTCCCTGAACCAAGCTCCCCCCCCCCACACCGTACAAAATCGAACCTTCCAGGAAGGTGGTTTTTTGCGCCTGAAAAGTGGCAAAGCTCTCTGCTAAAATGCGTGAAATAATGGCCGTTCCAGGACCGGCTTCACCATCACCAGCTGCGCTGGGTGGCTGCAGGGGTTGCTTCCTACCCCACCCACCCCACCCACCCCACCCACCCCACCCACCCTCCCACACCGTTCATCGCTGGCCACCCACCCTTCTCACCCATTCCCAACCCCAACCACCCTTTCCCACCCACCCATTCCCACCCACCCATTCCCGTGCGTGCTCGTGCGGCACGACGTGACGTACACGCAAAGCCAATCAGACCAAGACTGCGTCCGCGGCATCCACTCTAAGCCCCGCAAAAACGCGTGAAAAGTGACCAAGCAACACGATATTTTGCGATGTTTTCGAAAAAGCCCGCTCACTTGATCGCAGTCGGTGATGCAGGAATGCTAGGGATGCGCAAGGCAAACCCTATGGAAACACTCATCCCTAACCCTAAGCCCAACTCAAACAATAAGCCCCCCCCCCCAAAACCAGCCCCAACCAAGCCCTAGCCCTAAACAAACCCTACACGACCCTCAAACCAACCCCAAACCAACCAACCCCGTTTGTTCAAAGGGCAGTGGGCCCAACAGACAGAGGTTCAAGTGCATGAACACTTTGTTTGCTGTTCCAGCGCATGCTGTGGAAGGACAGAATGTTCGAGAAAAACCTCCTGGCAGCTGCCATATCTCATGCCGCGGTTTTGTTCCGTGGGACCGTGCGCATGCAGATGCAGAATGGCGCAATGATGCTTGGCAGAATGGGGCGTGGTGTCAGCGAGACCTTTGCGTTTTTCGTTGCGGTACGTCCAGGGGTCGACATCTTTATATTTCCTTTCCAAATGCAGACATGCAGCAACAGGTGGATCCTTTTTGATTGAAAACCGTTGGTGTTGTCCTGTAGCCCCCTTGCATGCTAGAGCGTCCCTCAACAGCGGCCAATCCTGGGAGGGTTGGCGGATTCTGCCCTGAGGTTGCAGGCATGTTGTCAGGGACATTGATCGAATTCGCTCGGTTTCCCTTTTCACATCCGAGGGATGCAAGAAAGTCAAATGATTTGCGCTGACGCAGGGTTTGGGAAAATACGATGGGTCAACATGGACCTCCGGCCACGTGTGTAGCAACTCTGGTGCATGTTGGTATGTTGACCAACTCCTAGCAAAGGGCTTATGAAGCCAAGATATTCCTTTCGGTTCCCAGCCGTCCGGTTCCTTACGTTTTCAGGCTTTTAGTTGGTTGAGTGGTTGGGTTTCCATTTGACCCACCAAAAACTGAAACAACTTTTAGCAGATCTGATCACGGACCGCCCAGTATTAATCACTTCCTGAGTTCATGGACTTGAAACCAGTTGGGTCTGGACCATTTTAGTGGTAAATAAGAAGTGTGGTTCCTTTTTTCTGCCCGTCAACTCGTTCAGAAGTGAGAAATTTGTTGCTACTTGGCTTTGCATTTGCTTTGAGGTTCATTGGTTTCCCTTTTGATTCCCTTTACTCACTTCCCCCAAGCCAAATAATGTTGACCCCATATGAATCAACCCCAGTTTGTTACTAGGGAGTTGTCCGATTCTGGGTGAAATGTGGGGGCCCACTTTTGGAGGGGCAAAAAACCCACCCCCCTATTCATAAACCGGGGTTGATTATTCATTCACCATCGATTGGCCGAATCATCCATGCCTCCCTCAGTGGCCCTCACAGCATAACCTCCCCCCATCTCCCTGGTAAGGGGAGACGTGTCCAGGGGATCCTCCGTTAGCAGGAAACCCAAAGTAACCCACTTTCGGAGGGGCCAACCACCACCCCCCTGTCAATAAACTGCGGTGGATTCAAATGGGGTTCACATTAACAACGAGTCCGTGTGTTGGGAGTGACCGTAGGGTTTCCCTTAAAGGAAACCGATTGAAAATTGTTTTCCCCTGGGATTGTTTTCCCTCAAAGGAAACCTAGGTTTCCCTTAAAGGATCGTTTTCTCCGGGTCATGTCTCATTCCCCGCTCGGTTGCCCGCCATCCACGCGACGTCGTGCCCCGACGTCTTATGCGCCATCCGACGTGAGAACCTTGGCGGCGGAGGACACCAGAACCAAGCTCGACGCGGCTCGGCAAGAACCTCTTCTCTTTTTTTTACATAACAATAACAATAACAATAACAACAAGAACAACAACAACAACAATAATATCAACAAAAACAACAATCAGAATAATGATAGTGCAAAACAAAGAAATCCGCGGGACATGGGCGACTGGGGGCTTTGGGGCTGGGGCCGTTGAGGGTGGGTGGGTGGGTGGGTGGGGGCGGGGGTGTGGACGCTCAGGGTCGATTTGGTGAGTGGGGCCATATGTTTTTATTTTCCCCTGTTGGTTTTAAAGGGAATCTATCACTACGTGAAACATTTGCTCATTTTTTCCAGGGTCATAAGCAAATGGAAGTTCACAGCATCGAGCTTTGTTGTTTTTCAACGGCTGATGGGGTCGATCGGCCCAAAGCTCTGGGGTTTGGGGCAGCTGTCAGGGAGGGTTCGAAAGGATTATTTTTACAGCGGGTTCCAGGGCTGTTGGGATGCCACCTTTTGTTTATTCTTCTTTTTTTCTTTTCTTTTCTCTTTTTCTTGTTTTTGTTCTTTTTTTATTCTTCATTTTTTTGGCCATTGACCTCGGTGGGAAACATGTTCAGCAGCATCTTCCGGAATACGCCCCATTTCTGCGGCGCCGAGATGAGGCGAAAGGCAAGTTGAGCGACATGCTGGAGATCAAGAACAGCGCGGATGCGCAGAGGTGCAATGCCATCACCAGGCCGGCAGAGCCTTTCTCCTTTCTGCGGGTGCTCTCCTTGATTTTTTTTGGGGGGGGTGACTAAACAAAAAAGATTGTTTACTTATTTCAACTATAACGAGCTCACCGATTCAGGGGAAACGAGCGATTTGGCCATGAAAGGAAGCTGCTTAAGTTTGAGCCCTTTTCTAACAGTGCTTTACTTGCAGTGTTTTGAGTTGTTTTCGAGTTGAAGAAACTATCAGAGTGGCATTCAGAAGATCCAGCTTTGATTCCACCAGTTATGCTCTCCCCCACTTGGGGTGAGTCTGCAGTGCGACTTGGCGCTAGGATGTTGATGGAGCGCTGCATCTTGGAAGAAGCGGAACCTTCAGATCGAGCCCTGGCTTTGATGGGCATGGAAGTAGGGCAGGTTGCAAAATTGAGGTCAAAGCGAAGACGAACTGAGGTTGTCTAAATACTAGTGGCTGCAACATCTTCAAGCTTTGCTTTTGCCCGCGTTGCCGCCACGGCCGAAGTTCTCCCTCTACCTTGAGAATACCTTGAGAACTTCGTGGCACTTGGGATTTGTCAGAGTGATTGTGTCAGAATCTGAAGCAGGGGTCTTTGGCTCATTTGGCGATCTTTCGCAGTTGCCCAACCAGTGCACATGAGAATGGCCTCGCCTTGTTAAAGTGGATCAGGCAACTCAAGTGGAACCTCCAATTCTTGGTGGCAAAGCCAGCCATCCGGTTCAGCCTTTGAGATCCTTTTAGCGTTTAGTGGTTGGATGTCCATTTAACCAACCAAACGTTAAACTTTGAGCGGGGGATCTGAGGACAGCCCAGAATTTGTTCGCAAGGGTTCATGTTCCAAACAGACCTTGCAACACATTCTTGGCGCCAAATGGATGAGATGCTTCATCCAACGCCCCATTCCCAACTTTGGCGCTCCCAACAGTGAGACCTGGTCATTCTCCAATCCAAACCTTTGAAACAGATCGAAGATGTGGCAGGCGCAGGCACACAGAGACCGACACATTTGGTGGATGAACAACGTCAAAACCAACATGTCGGGACACCAACACTTCACTGCTAGGGCCAGTGTTCAGAGTTGCTCCAAAGATTCCGGAGAAAAACATGTCCAAGATGGAGACGAAGGGGGGTTTCAATGCCGTAGCCTTCTGGTTCTCATCTTTCCAAAAGCATCCGAGTGCGGATCCCGAAAGAGGAGCAGTCGCGGATCTGGGGGCTGTTCGAAGCGAAGCATCGAGGTGTTTGCTATGGATTGGTAACCGATCCATCGGCAACTCTTTTTGTTTCTTCTAGAAAGTGAATACTGAACACAAAAATAATTCCAGGGGTGGTTTCCTTTTCAACCATCGTTCTTTTCGAGAATCGGCCGTTTTCTCCGGGTTTCTGGAGGTTTTCTAGAAAGAAGGATCCATGGAAAGAATGGGGGTGCCCCTAGAATAATGACGTGGTTAAAATTGACCGCAGATGAGAAATAGCAGCTGTTGTAATGCTCCATAAGCTGCCTCAAGACTTGGTCCCCGGCCATTTGGAGCTTTTAACCGGTCTTGGACTAGTCCACCTCAAGGACGTCTCCGCACATCGCCCTAGACTTAGAGATCGAGAAAGTGAGAATCGGCATGTGCTCCGCCAGGTCTTTGTGAAACTTACATAGTGACATTGGTTCAACCAATAGCCCGTTGAAATAAATCTGCCGGGCAAATTCGGCCGCGGATGCAAGCTTTTGGGTTGCGTTTCCTGAGAAACGCTCTTGGGGGTTCTTGTGGATGGTATCGGATCGGCAGGAGCCTGGCTCAACTGTGTTCAACTGGAACGTGGAACAGAGACGTGGAACGTGGAGACGTCTTTGCGTTGAGTCAAGATGTTTGCCTTTCAGGGAGTGTCCAGGTTCCAGAGCAAGCTCTCTTCTTGGATTCACCTGAGAGTTTGACAGCAGTCCAAAATTTGGTAGTCCGTTTGCCTAGATGCGGTTTGGGTATCAGCCAAGAATCCCTTGCGTTATTATTATTATTTTTTGGGGGGGAATTGCGGGCGTCAGGCGTTTGATGGGGAATGAGGGAAGAGTCAATTCCTAAGCATGTCCAACTCCTGCCTATCTGGGTCCATGCAGACGGTTGAAGGGAGTTGTACTTTTGGTTTCCTTAAGAACACCCGAACAATTCACGGGTTCCCATTTCCTGATTATTACCGGGATTCCCTTCAACAAACATCTAACAACCCCAAAAAACAATCCTCTTCTAGCCACATACTCCTCATTCTCTTCAGGGATCCCCTCTCAGACCATTGCCCCACGGAACACGTCTTCGGTTTCACACAAGGGGTGAGAGTGGACAACGAATCAACCTGGAATTCCTAAGCAACAGGTTCCGGAAGCCTTACACAACCCCCCCCAGAGCATCCCTCCCCGTTAGCTCCCCAAAACCCTTCTTTTGCCAAGGCGTCTTGGCAGGCGCCCATGGGCTGCTCTGCAAGTACGCCGCCTGGCAAAAAAAAAGGCGGTCGCGGATTCCACTTCTTTTTTCTTTTTCGAGGGTTCCCTTTTTTTCGGATGGTTTTAAAGGAAGCCCCACGGAGAACCGCTCCCTTCAAAGGGATGTCCAGCTGAAAAAGGACGAGCCGCCCATTTTGGCCGGGCGAGACAACTGGCGGCTTCCCAGAGTGTTTGGCTTCCGTCTCCGATCTCCGGGGGTGCCCTTAAAGGGAAAGACCCTTTCGCGGCAAGTCCTTGGTCAAGTCCACTGAGGTTTCCCTCAGTAAAAGGTTTCTCTTTGGCCCGGCTGGACATTTGCTCTCAGAAGAAGCTTCTGGCACTCCATCCCCTTTTCCTGACGTGTGTCAACGTCATTTTTTTAAGCTTCAGGTGGGATCAACGGGTTGCCGTCGAAACCGATTTGGGTGTTCCTTCAAGGCCTCAGAGTTGTTCTGGTTTCCGGTTTTGTTCCGCTTCATTTGAAGTTTCTTCCGATGCCGCCTGTTTTGGGGCTTGATTGGGTCTTTGTCAAGTTGCGTGGTGTTTGTCCGCTTGGCGGACTGGTGGCCTACGCTGAGTCGTTTGCTCGTGGGGAGCCAAACTCACTTCGCAATCGGGATGGATGACACCAACCGGGATAAACCACCAACTGGTGCGACGTGGGTGTTAAACCCACGGTAGCCACTGCCTTTTGGATGGGTTTGATCAGGCCACCGAGCCTCTCGAAAAGGGTTGCCCAGCATCCGCGGATGCGAGCGGAGCCCTGAACTGAAAGCGGATCCGGCTTCGAACCAGCCTATGCTTCCCTCTTCAGGTACAGTGACCCTCAATTGGTGGTTTGGATTGGCACCCCTGGTTCTTGTAGAGGGTAAATGGGAAACCCCTCCTCAACCACCAAACCACCAATCCAAGCCACCAATTAAAGGGAAGCTGCCCTCTTGGTGTTTCTGCACATCACTTTTTGGTTGCCAGTTCAACATGAGTTGGCGACGTTTATGGGTTAGGAACATATTTGGATCCCACTTTACATGGGGCATAGGGCGCACGGACCCTCAAATTGCTGGAAAATAGGGGTGATATAGCCCCTTCAGTTACGAAACATACATACTTGATGGCTCTCAGCATGGAATGAGGGAATGACCCATAGAAGCCATCCATTTCCTATGGTTTCCTTTGTTCGGGAATCCCCAAACCAGTTCATTCGAATCCAACACCCGGACTCGGCAAGTCATTCCCTACCTATCGCACCGATCGCAGGCATCTCCTGGAGGTCTTTGTCGCGTTGCGTTGTCCAGAAGCTGAGGTTTGGTGCCAAGATGTTTGGGTGGAGATCGTGCTGAGACTTGCGACCGTGGCTCTGGTAGCTGCCACTGGGCTGCGTAGTTTTTTTCTTTATTTGGGCTGAGGAAGCCAGATCATATGTATACATATATGCATGTGTATATGTGTGTATATAACATTGCACGTATCTTGAATATCTACATTATATACATAAACATATAATTATGTACACATACGTGTATATATATATATCTATGTGTACATTTGTGTGTGTGACGTAGAGTGCGCATGTTTAAGCTGGAGGCAGATCTAGGAAAGCTGTCATTCCTGGTACTTCTCACCTGCTCGTCTGGGGGTCGCCCGGCACCCGGACGCCAGGGCCATGCTTAATGGATGTAGATAGCCAGCTTGTCCGCTGAGTTGAGAGCTGCGGTTGGCAAACACATCGGGGGGGCTGCCCCGTGTAGGAGGGAAGGCCGAAAACCTTAGACTCGCAGGGATCAAGGCTTTGCTTCATTGCCTGTGGTATGTAGTCACTTAGTGGCTGTGTGGTATCGGATCTTTGGACTTGAACTGTTTGATTGAAGCTCGTTTTTTTTTTCCCCCCGTATTGGAAGCAGTGATTCACTTTTTGGGGTCAACAGCAATCAAGATAAGAACCATGTCTCTATGCGTCATGTGCTTGAAACATGTTCGAACCATCACAGATAGTGCGCTCTGTGAGTGAGATACCAGTTGCTGGCTCGCAGCACCGCACAAGCACATGACACGCGGGCAGACCAGTTGCAAAGCTTGCAAGCGAGAGATGCAGATCGCCAAAACACGCATATCAGGACATCCCAAAGTGAGCTATGGCCAAGACTTGTTGCGTTCGTCGAAACATGCAGACGGATGTGCGCATCGCAGCAGCCTGGCTTGAAAAGCGTGCAGATAATCATCATCAATGTTGCAGCCATAGGTGTCCTTTTTGGTTGTTTTGCTTACAAAATAGAAGGCCCCCTGGATTTTTTACCTGGTGGTTTAATCATCTACCAGGGCCATCTATTTTCCAAAACGGACACCTGGCGGTTGCAGCTGTGCAATTGCAAGGCTTAGGAGTTGGAGATGGTGTCGGTGTGGTACGATGTGAGGCCGATACGCTTTTGGTGCTGCTGGGCAGAGCAGGGCTGCCTTAATCTCCCGCATGGTGTCTGGCAGGCCACGCGTGTCCCCAGCTTTCTGACTTGTTGTTGGCATGTTGTTTGGCTTTTTGTGGTTTTGGGGGTTCTGACGGGCTGCAAAATCAAGGTATTTTGCTGCCATAGTTGCCATACCAAGGGTTGGCAAGACGAGTCTGGGGTTTCATTCGCCTTTCGAGCCGTGTCGCTCCAGGCTCTTTGGGGACACACGTCTGGCTGAGTCGCCGGGTTTCTTCGATCCTAGCTTAGTGGCTTGGCAGTGAGTTGCCTCGTTGGAGTGAGCGACCAAGACTCTAGGGGTAGCTCCCCCCTTTCCCTGGACATAGTTGCCATTTCTTTCTTTGCAGGGGGCGAAGAAGCAAATGGAAGAGTTGACCTCCGGCAGTTTGGGACCTTCGGACTTTCACTTTTTGGGAAACGTCTAACCTCCCGTGTCCATTCTTTCCAGGGATCCGAAATCGTTCTAGAAAGCCTCCAGCACCAATCTTTCTTAGGGGGAAAACGGATCCGGTGTTCGAAAAGAAGGATGGTCGAAAAGAATGGGGAAGTTGCCCCTAGAAACACACGCGAGTCACAATCAAAACCCGGGTACTCGTAAGTGAAGGTTAGTAAGGGACAATCCCAGCCATAAATAGCTGAGGAGATCCGCCTGTTTAGTTCTTTACATGGTTCTGGGTCGACCATTGTTGTTCGGGCTTTGATTGTGACTCACGTCGAGTTTTGGGACAGGGATTGCTAGACCCCCCATGAAAAAAAACTAGAATTACCTACTTCAATGGCACATCTCCCTTTTCCCCAACAGCTGAAAGCCAAGGGGACCTGAAGCCCATTTTAGGGGGTTCGGTTCGGGGCTGTTCTTGATACTACCTGGGCAAACAATAAAGGGGCTACGCATGTCAAGCTGATGCGAACCGGTGGGAAGCGACAAGAGAGTGGCTAGGAGCTGGACAAGGTTCGCCAAGCAGCACGGGCCTGACATACAGCAGCGCACGATGAAAAGAAAGGGTGCCATGTGACTCATAAACTTATTCGACAACGAACGCGCATTTCTAACATTCACTATGAACCACATCAAGTAAAGGCCTCGCTACACAACAAGCTCTCGCTCGCCCAACTTACGCTCACTAACTTACTCAACTTGCACATACTTTTCTAAACACGCATGTCTAACTCACTAGCATGAAACACTCACTACGCAACACGTCGAGCAAGGGCCCCGCGTTACAAGCGTTTGGGCATGTGGGGTTCTCCGGTTCTTTATTCGCTTTTTCGACAATTATATTGTATATTCGAGGCCCGGACACGTGTTTGTGAGAGACAAATCGGTTTTCGTGTCTCTGCAGTCAACATGCGCACCCTGGGCTGGGATTCGGAGTGAATTTTGCTTCGGGCATGCGTTGCCAGGGGAAGGGAACAATGGGGGAAACACGCACAGCTTCCAGGTCCTTTGCCGTCATCACGGCGCGCAAGCGCGCTCTTGGGAGGCGAGCTCTTGAACATATGTCCTGGACCTTTCGAGATCGCTGAAACGTTTTCTCCGGAAGCTATTTGCAAGCAAGAAAAAAGTATCTGAGCCCTGTCAGAATGCAAGGAGCGCTGCTGCCAGCCCTCGCTGCGCATCCCTGCAAAAGCTCTATGATTGCTCAACACAGGGCCGTGTTTGTCGAAACATTTTGACAGGTTTGAATAGCTGCCACAAGTCAACGGCAGAAGTCGAAAAAGGCAGAGCAAGGAAAATGGCCGGCGTAGATTGCAGAAACCTTGGCATTCGCCACCGGCAGTGCGTCAAGTGCTGTGCCCTTCGAGAGCTTTCCGAAACAGTGCAATACAGCCACTGCGACCTGCGCAACCCATGCCTGGGTGCGCAATCCTGTCACTGGAGCCGCGAGTCGGTACAAGAGCTCTGTTTTCGCTGCGCACCATCGCACGGATCGCTCAGCGCAGAACCGCGTTGGCCTCAAAAACAGCTGCTGCTGCAAGCCATCGACTGATATCCGAAAAACAAAGCAAGGAACATTATTGGCATAGATGGCAGCAACCACTCACAACCAGTGTGTCTGTGCAGGTGCTCCATTGAGGAGGGCGTCAAGGGCGCGAACTTTCCTTAGGCCGTTTCAAGTACTTTGTACGAATTCCGACCTCCGGGAGTCGTGTTTGGGATCGCAACCGTGGCACTGGAGCCACCTCTCCCAGAGAGAATCGTGGGCTTGCTTTCCACGTCATCCTCTTGCTTGAGACAAAACCATTGGCTCGTCTGCTGTGTCTCAAAGCCTTTGATAGCTGCTGCAAACAACACCTGAAATTCATAGCGACAAGGAAAACGTTTGGCGTAGCTGGCAGAAGCCATGCCGACTGCGAGCGGTGTGCGCAAGAGCTGGTTCCTTCAAGAGGGTGTTAGGCAGGGCACTAACTTTCCTGAAGAGGGCGGCGCAATTACTTTGCATCAGCTACGACCTGTGCGAATTGCACCGCGGTATTGTGTGGGCGCGCTGCTGTGTCGCGAGCACGTTGCCCTTTGGGGTGTTTTGTTTGCCCTGTGCATTCGA